TCAACTAGCAACCAAATTTCTAATTATCTATATGTGTATTTACTCTATACCGCCTAGGGTACTAAGGGGACTAGCAATTGAATTTTCCCATAGTGGCCTAAGGCCTCCATTTAATTGCACATAACCTTGCCTCCCAAAAGGTATTTTCACACAGAGTGGATTCCAGTTTCGACTTCGCCTAGATCTAACAGACAATTGTTGCGGGATTCGAACCATGACAGTGTATCGTATAATCTCTACAAGTTTATCACTATGCCACATTGTCAAGGGTGTTCTTGGGTCACAGGGGATGTGGGAAGTTTAAGAAAGACCAGACATTTTCCCATATCACATTATATGGTGGGATTGACGATGAAGTTAAATTATATTTGCAATAGCAATCGACTACATTACTTATTTTTCGCTTATAAGTAGGCTTTAGAATTTAGCAGAAGATCCTTTATATGCGTATTCACCCTACTTAGTTTAAGGTTATAAGGGGACTGATAGTTGAATTATATCAAAATTGTATGAGTGGGCCTTACGCTTTCATCGAATATCACATTGACTTCCTTCTGCTACTTTCGGTCTAGTCCCACCTGAGGCGTTTATAAGTTCAAAACTGCAGTCCAAAATGGATGTAGATATTTTTGGGTAGCAAGGATATGTGAAATTAGATGGGAGCGTAGGGTTTACCCAAATTATTGTGAAAAAATTCAACTATCAGCCCCTTATCTCCTTAAACGAAATAGGATGAATACTCATAAAAATGATTTACTAGTAATCTCAAAAAATTTATACTTCTCCTAGGGCCACCAATTTGTGTTCCGACCCTTCTCCAACTATCTTAGGTTATAGTAGCCAAATTAGATCACTACTCAAAGATATGAAGACCAGGATGGTGTGGCAACAATAGTTGAAATTACCATGACAAGAAAAGAGTTAGCCTAGAGTTTGCTCATGATTCAAATGTACTGCGTATTCTAAAAAAGGGTTTTCACCAAAGATGGACAGAAGGTTCTATCTATATTTTTGATATCTCGCTATCTTGCCTAGCAGGATTCTTACTCAGGATGCATTGTTCCTGGACCAGGCTGCACGGGTAGGTTTATCCCAACTCTCATTCGTCATGGAGGAATATCGTGAGTAAAGATTCACTGAATTTGATATAAATTGAGCGGCTGGCGCTAGTACAATCTATTCTTATAAACAATTCATCTGAGGCAGAATAACTTTTTTTTAAACAAAGAGCAATCTAAAATGTTTTAACAATTCATTAATATCAATTGTCATCATCTGTCCTTTACAGAACAAGATTTATTATGCATTTGAAGAGCAACTGCAGATTTATAGTCTATTATTTACATCAAAATTCTTTACTACACTAAGTCATTTAATTTGATTACATTGAATTTGGATCATATGCGACAATTAGCAAAAGAAAATTCTTCCAAGTTACCCAGCTTCATTATGTCTGGTTCGTTTGACTGGGTCACAATAAAGTGCCTAATGTATGGGAGTAGGTTATTAATTTGCTCTTCTCATTGGTTCTCTTTCGCAGAAACAGGAAGATTCACAAAGTTCTGAGTGTATAATCATCGTACCAAGACTAGACCCAAGTCCAATCACTCTTGAGGATGCGGTCTCCATCAGCCCCACAGTCGAATTCATTGGGGCAACGTCGACCGAGACGCCTTTAGTCGTGACTGGCGGACCAATTTCTATCGTGCCCTCAACCCCAATGCATCTGGGAGTAATAGGCAGGTCAGCAAATACGGCCACAGTCGAAGTCATTTCCCATCCCAGTACGGAGGAGATGATTACCGTTCTTAAGCAAACCGATTTGGGCCACTCGATCTTGCCACAAGAAGCACATGACAGTCACATGCTCACAAAGTTAACCAGTACCTTACCTGGAACACTGACTACTGAATATACACTGGCTAGCTTGAGAAATATGGCTAAATTTTCCGACAAAAAACAAGCTATTTTGGCCAAAGAGTCCATGGAAAATCTAATTGATTCCAGCCCTTGTGTCGTCGAGGAAGTGGCTCTTCCATCGATTCTCCCAGGCCAGCAGTCACTGAGGCCAGAGATCAGCAGAACTATTCGTACTTTTCAGTTCGATCAGTCAGTGATTCATCGTGACCAAATGTTAACCAAAGAGATGGCTCGTCTAAGAAGCGAAAAACAAGCCTATTATGAACGTTTTAAGGACTTTTTCCTCCCTATCGTGGCTGAAGGACATAAATTGTCACTATCAGCAGAGGACTCATTGGCGTTGTCCTCCAGAGTGTCGCAAAGTCTCGGAGCGCGTCAGAACCAAACGGAAGCATCAAGCGATCACTCTGCCACAATAGAAACTCAGCTCCACAGATGGAGCTCCGACTTTACCCGAATCTCCAGCACCTCGTCAAGGTCATCAGGTTATACAGAAATTGAGCAGACCTGTACTGTCCATCAATTGGACAGTCTGGTCTGTATCATGGTTGCTCTGGAGATAGTCTCTCCGCACTCGAACTACGAGCTGGAGCTGATTGAACGGCGTCTCGAAATGATCGAACGTCAACTCGACAGCACCAGAGCTTGTGCTTCATATGCGCGTCGACTGCGTCGTCTAATGACCAACCGGGAGAAGGAACTTGCCATTCTGTGTGGCAGAAAGGTTTCCGATGCCACAGACGTGGGGCCTTTCGCCTCTAAAGGCTCATTTTTTGCCAACGACGATGATGCTGTTCTGTTGACAGCGTTCGTCTCTCTTATACTCTCGCTGGTCGCTCTTCATGCTACCGGCTCGCCAGGACTGACGGATGTGTTGGTTCGACTTCGTAAAATCATCCTAGAATTGGCAGCTGGGTACTGGGAGTACGAGTGGCCTGCCGTAAGTGTGGATCGAGACAAGTTGCTGGGTACCAAAATGCTGCAGATTAGGCCCCCTCTAATTAGCCTGAGACGGAAAGAGGCTGGTCTGCATTTCATACAGTTGAGAAGGCAACCAGAATCAAGAGGACTGGGCGCTTTTCCTGATTTAGTGACAAGTTCCGGACATTTTAGCAGGAAAACCGGCTTACTTGAGAGGCAAACAGAAACTATGGAGAAAGGCACTACCAATACAGTCCCTGACGCCGAGGCCTTGACTAGTCTTCCGGTTGTTCAACGGAAATTCATGCAAAGCGGACAGATAGAGACTTTGGTGAAGGAGAATCTCCCAAAAGTTGAGGGTCTCATTCCACAAAATGCAGGTGTAGGGAAGGAAAGCAATAGGGACAGGAGTATGCCATCAACAAAATCGTCATTAATTTCATGGGACTCTGGACATACTACTTGTAAACTACATGGTGAGCAGATACAATTAAACACTTGCCTACGGGAAAGACGATATGAATCGACTGAAGCGACCGGATGGATAGAATCTGATGAAAAGCATGGTGGCGAAAGCAAAGACGCCAAATTAGAGGCGACCCAACAGAAGGATGGGAAGCATGCTATGAGCACATCAAGAGGGCAGGTCAGTATTTCACACCTTTTAAGAGAGTTATAGCTTGATACCACTAGTCAGAATTCAATGCTAAAGTTTTCGTAGGTTGTAAGTTTTTATGAGATTGCAGAATTTGCTTATATGAGATAAGACTCTTAAGATGAATAAGGTCATTTATATGAACTACAA